TTGTTATTTGTCTGCAAAATGTCTAATCTTGTTTTTTATGCTTTTAAGAACTTGATGTAAAAACCACTATTTTCAAGTTCGATTTCCACCTAGACCACTTTGTTATCTGGCAGATTATCTCTTGCGGTTAATCGATCTAACTAAAGTTTGATAATACGTGAAAAAATCTTTGGAGGACATTGTTGCAATATATTTCATTTGATAGATTTTGTTTTGTTCTTACAAGAAAGTAAGTACTTTGCCTTCAGGGGGCGTCCATTTTTCACGTGAGGTTTTTAGGGGGAGGGGGGGTTTGACAAAAAAATCACGATATATCACGTGTGGGAGGGAGGTGTGTAGTAAGATATCACGTGTATTTATTTTTTAACTGATTCCTTCAAAAAAATACAACATTTTAAAAAAAATTCAAAAAAATTATAGTTTTATCACGTAACTAAAAATACACGTGATGTTTCGTGGGGGAGGGGGTGTAATTTTGAATATCACTACGTGTCACCAAGGGGGAGGGGGGGTTAAAAAATCCTTAAAAACTCGCTCACGTGATTAATGGACGCCCTCTTACGAAAATAGGATGACTATAATAAAGCTGTCTGGAAACTTTGGGGACCTAGAAAAATAGGTATGTAAATGATTATACTATTATAGAAGACATTTTTGCAATAATGCCTTCACTTGGTCACATGTTATCATATTTTAAATCTATATTTTGAAGTGAAAATTTGATATCACTACTGCTTAATATCAAGCTGGTTATCGAACCAGAAACCAGTTTTTGCTAATCCTAGGATGTGGCCGGCACAATGATTACAAATAAGCATACGAATTTTGAGTATTTATTAAACAATCGCTTTTATTTAAAAATCCGTAAGTTTTTACTTTCCGTTCCTATCTGTTTTGCATATAAGAGTCTTAATTATCGAACACGAAATGTCCATTTACAGGTACGCCGACAGCTTTAACGACTTTTAGACATGATTTCTATGGCATTCGGATTTAGATAAATCTTTTGTTTACGCAACCTTTATTGTTCGCGCTAAAACATAATAAAGATCGTTTTTATATCCAAACATCTGATATAAATTCCGCTGCCGGTAATATAAGGTAATACTGCATCACACCTATTTTCACAAATGTTTAGAATCGATTTAAAACAGGGCCGGTTAGACAGAGGACAAATACTGAGTATTTTGATAATGCAATTTGCATAAATTTTTGCAATAGGGAACGGCGTATTATTTAAATATATAATGCACAATTTTAAACTAAAAATAAATATTTGCATCTTGGTTCAATGGATCTAAAAATAGAAGAACATATCACTTAATTTTATTTATTTACAAATATCAATACTAGTTTGGCTTTTCTGCTGGTACTTGAACTGGTACTGGTCGTAATACTTTTGGTATGTCTTTCTATAAAGAAAAATTTAAGGTCCGACAAATAATTTTACCAAAATTTAATTAAGATATAATTTAGTACATTAATAAAAGGTCTGTTATTTCTCAAACTAATTACTCAATGTCTTTCTATTTAGACGAATTGTAGTTTATAAGGAAAAAAAAACAAATAATTTAAGTGCCCGTCGTGGTCCTGCGTTCGAACATAACCTCGATCAGCTCGAAATCAAGCTATATAATAAAATTTGTTAAGGTTATAGATCTCAAATATGAAATCTAGTGAAAATTCACTATTAGAATCTATACAGATTTAATATATACAAATAGTCTACATATAAAAAGGAAGAGTGGTTGACCGCTGGGTTGCCCTGTAGGGAAAAATACTAGGTTGTAATATATCATAGGAAACACAGCTCATAGAACATGTAGTTCTAATCGCTATTAAAAAAGGAATTTGATTTTAGGGCCGACATGAAACCTGTTTTCTCATTCAGTTATGAAACTTGGAATGCGTATCATGTATACATATAATAGACGAGAATCAGAACCAAATTATGAAACAAATTCTAACAACTTCAATATTAATAATTGAAATATCTTTTTAATTTCACCTTTGCCAGTTTGATAAAAAGCACTAGTAATGTCAGATTTCCCTTTGTGGTTATAGATCCAAAAATGATAATATGTGATAATAGTCTGCTGGGGCTATATATATATATATATATATATATATATATATATATATATATATATATATATATATATATATATATATCTTCATCCGAATTAGATAAAAAATTTATTACAAATCTCATCATAATGGTCAACCATAAAGTTCAATTTATATATATCAGATCGTTGTTGAAAAAAATGAGATCAATAAGCGAGTTTGACTCGCATTTCATTGTATTTTAATCTGAAATTTCTACAAAAACGTGCGTACTATTTTTATCATTTTGATTATTATTAATTGAAATATTAACTAAAACTATTTAATTTACAAAATAGTGATAAACTTGCTAATTATGCGACGAAGCAAATTTATATGTGCTTAGGCCATATTGGGAAATTAGTGATAAAATTGTTATTTGACATTCGTGGTTTTTGGAGGTTAGGTTTTATGTGTAAAATGCCTGATAGCCATAAACCTTATGACACCGTCCTCATATGCAAGTAGAAAATACTGAATTTCAATATAGAAACACTTTAAAAAATTAAAAATCATAAATATACCAGACTGATGGAAACACATTTGCAAATAGATGCTGCCTTTCATCTCAGTATTATTTACAAAAATAAATATTCACATCCTTATATGTAAAAATTATGCATAAACAAAGAATAATTAATTATTTTATAAGTAATTATTTTATTAATTTTGTTAGTCAATGATATATAATTTTGATTAATTAATTAGTTAATCATGTTCAATAATTTTTTTTTGTTCTACTAAAATAAGTTAAAATTTATTATCAATAAAATTGAAACCGTCGAAAACTGCTTTCAATCACTCGACATTTTCTGTTAAACATTGTTTGTTCGAAATATTCGAGCAAAGAGTTTTTTTTTTTGAACACTCGAAACCGGTTTAAAACGATTTTTTATATTTATAAAAGTCAAAATCCAGTTTTCTAAAATGTCGGTTTTTGTATAAAACCTAAAACCCACCTCATATAGCCTGATGTCAAGAAGTAGTGACATCAATTGGAATTGAACTTGGAAATGTAGGCAGCAATTTAAGATTTAATAAGAGATAGGTCAACTGATTTGTTTCTTATCTATTATATATTATTAATGGGGGGTACATTAATTATGTGATCGTTTTTTAAGAATTTTATTAGTGATACTTTGTGATATTTAAAATTACCCCCATTCTCCAAGCATCACGTGTATTTTTGTTTATATTTATTCATTTATTTATCATATAGCCTTTAGAGTAGCTCCAGGAGGACTTAAAAATACATTTTAATAATACATATTATAATAATACAAATATACTAATATATGATATAACAATACATAACATAATAAAATTTGTAACATAAAAATACATAACACATAATAAAAAACTATCTAATTCTTAACGATAAAACTAAATTATATATGACGGAAATAACATATTCGTGACAAAATATCATGATTAACTTGTACAGATGGATAAAACCGTAAAATTTTTCCGATTTGGAAAAATTTTGGATTTTTAAAATAAATAAATACCCATGATATCATACTGAAGCTCTTCGTCTTCACGTGATATTTCGTGATTTTTTGGTGAATTTCCTCCTCTCCAGACATCAGATAGTTATACTTGTGATGAAATTGTTGTTTAACACTCGGGCTTTTTGGAAATTAGGTCTTATGCATAGATAAACAAGTATAAAAAATTTTAACTTCCCGTAGGGCAAGTTATAGTAATCGCAAAAAAATCGAAAATGAAAATTTTTATAGATCTTTACGTTTGAAAACCTTCTGAACATTTTGGCATACCTTAGAAGAATGGATGTATGTGGGTGTGTGTGTGCGTGTATGTATGTATGTTCGGATACAAATTTTCGTCGACGATTTCGGGAACACGGATCAACCGATTTGAATAATTCAAAAAACATTCGATTTGTATTGATAAGGAGACGTGCTGATTAGTTTTTGGCAAAGGCAGGTCTAGCCGTTCCGAAGATATGAGGCAAAAAGTGCCGAAAACGGTAACTCAGTTTTTAAGAGAACGATTGAATAATTCAAAAAAACATTTTATTTGTATTGACTAAATGAAGAACTGTTCAAATTTTTGAAAAGGCAGGTCCAACGACTTTGGAGATATGGAGGAAAAAGTTAAAATATGAGCCATTTGGCAGTAAAAATGAACATTAGACATATACACAGTATAAATTTTGTTTACATTCTTTTCTTACTATGGGTTCCGTACCAATGTTTACGCGTTAGACGGTGACGCGACGCTTACGCGCTTTGATATTTCGTATTTATGAAATTAAAGCAGCACAATTGCTTTGAAAAAAAGTTCAGATTATCCAAAATATTTTAAAATAAATGATTTAAGATAGAATGTTATAGAATAGAATAGAATAGAATATGGTTCGAAATTCTATTAAAAGTTTCAAATCATTGATCAACTTTTATTGATTATTATTATTGATTATTTTTAATTACTCGAATTTTGAATTGCGGTACGGGAAGTTCCAGCAATTTGCCTTAAGGCACGATGCTCTAATTGCCTTGAGACAGAATTCCACTTACAGCTAGTTTTATATGTTTTATGTGGTTTTATGTGTAAAATGCCTGTAAATACATAGACAGCTAGTTCTCATATATGTCCCCTGGTAAAAAGTGTTAAAACATGAAAGGCCATAGTGACGACACGGGGTGAACGAGCGTTGCCGAAAACCTTCGAAAACTCTCGAATAACATATTTACGTGCACGAATATTCTCCACTCTGTTTCGACACTTTTTGTGCTCGACTAGTTCATGTATAATGAGGTCTATACTGATATATAGACTCGTAACATTACAGTGCGTTATCATTTCTGTTTTATTCGAAAATTAGCAACAGAAAATATGTATAATATAGATAATGTGCCCCGAGTGTGGGTTATTAATGCGGTCCTGTATCCGACTGGTTCACCGCCGATTTCTTATTCGCGTATATGGACAAACTGTTGAACAACTAGTAGTGAGCCCACGCCATCTGAGATGGAATGAAGGCCTCAGCCGAACAGGCGCTCGAGTCGCTAACTCAGAACTCAGAACTCAGAACGCACGAGGTCTTTCTCACAATCAGATTCCCATAATTTTTGTGCATTTTGTATTGTGTTTTTATAAAGGTATTATATAAATTTACAAGTACATTACAATCTATGCCAGTGCAGTTAAATTTGTGATCGAGAAATGTTTGGTTTGACGTGAAATTCTTGGATTAATTAGTGGTGTTGCTCAAATGCGAAGACTGTTTACATATTTGACAAGGTGAGGCGATGTGATACATGTGCGCGTTATCAGTAAGCAAATGACGTTTGTGGTGATGGATGATAGTTTATTTCGAAACACTCGATATTAACACCTTAATCGCTATGTCAGTTATATGTGTCTGACGTTAAGACCATGTTTGCCATGTCAGACATATATAGGAGAACTAGGTGCTATCTGTGACGGGGGTAACTAGGAACATGCGTTTTTCAATATGATCTTAAACGACATTAAAATATTTTTTGCCTCTTATTGGACATGTAAGTCGTCCTGTGTATTTTGGTCATTGTCCCACAGGTCAACGCAATAAACGAATAAACAGAACTGTGCAGGTCCGTCATTTTTGACGTGTAATATAAAATAGCTAGTTCTAATTTATATGAAAATTTTATATGTCTCAATTTGCTTGAAATGTATCATTTTTTTATAGTTTGTAACAATTTTTATGATTGATAAATGGTTTAATTAGTGGTTTTGATTAATGTAAGAGTATAACTGGAGTGAGTTGAATCAAAATCTTGGGGCTAGTTGTACCATTCAAAAATTGTATATAAATTCAATGAAGAAAATTGAACAGAATATATTATTTGTAAGATATGAGCACTAAAAATTGTATTACAAAATACATTATAGCTTTAATTTGTATTATGATATTAATTGTAGTTTACGTTGATTCATGATGAAACTAGTGGGGTGTATAGCATCGTGCCTTAAGGCAAATTGCTGGAACTTCCCGTAGCGTGACGAAATGTTCGAGGAAGTTAAAAATTTATTTCAAGAGACATTTTATATTTTATTTACATTAATTACATTTTGCATTTTTGTATGAAAAAAATACTTAGAAACAAGTCAATTTTCTTAAATATAAGCAGATATTGAATTATCAAAAGCATTTTTGTGACTTTTTGTCGGTTTTGCTTCGGTATATGTTACAACTAGCCCCAAGGACAAGTTAATTGGTAACACACTTTTTCTAGAAATAGATTATTATCATTGATTATAAAATAATGAACAACATTTATGGTTATTATTATCATTGATTATAAAATCATGAACAACATTTGTGGATATATTTTTACTTGATTCGGTACAGGAATAGTTACAGCAACTATCCATCTTTATTTTGTAGAAATATAATAAGTAGATTTGAAGACATATTAATTTTTTTTAATTAGACATATTAATTTAAAATAAAAAAATCTGTTACAACAAGCCCTTACCTCCCCTACCTGACAAATTGACCTGAAAATTTCATGGCTTGCCGAGAAAAAGAGTTTTAACATAGGGCTATGTCAGTCATATATGTGTGACATAAAAAAATGTTTTTCCTTGAGTTTTGACAAAAAAAATTCTTTGATACACTGAGTATCCTTGATATATTTTTAACAACATTATCTAATAAAGTTACCATGGAATTTGAATTGAAGTTACCCACATGCAATTTTTTTATGATATTCTAGTGGCGATTAACGTGATAATTATCAATATACATTCAAAAATATTACAAACTACAAAATGGAAATTAAAATTCACATTTCATACATTTATTATTGTGCAATATGCATATGACAATATAAAAGTAAATTTAAAATTATTGGTTGTTGATTCATACTTATATGTTTTGAATGTATAATTAAGATAGATCTTATATTATTTTGTTATATATAGATCTTACGACATGCGTTTTGCTTCTATGTTATGATTCATATGTCTATGAACTCACATTTAGTGAAATTTTAATTTTTTTGTAATGTATAATGTATATTTGTATATACTATCTTGCAAATTTCGATAAATTACTAAGATTTGTTCTATACATATGCATTAGTATTTCTTACTTCAAAGTTAAAATTAGTTTTTTTTAATTAACAATAGTATAACAATTTTGATTATGGTATAATAATGTATGTATGATCCAATCTCAATTTAATCCAAAATAAAAATAAACTAAAGTTTTTTTGAAGATGGTATTTGTTTACAACGTTTCGCCACTATAGTTACATACAATCGTCAGAATTTCTGTAGAAATACATATCACAAATTGTAATTTCGTTTCTTTAAAATTCACGTAGCTAATATTTGAGTTTTTTTCTTTAATTGTGCCGTTTTGTGTATTTTTGTTATAGATAATGATGTAGCATGGATGTAGTATATGTCGCACTGATCTAATATTCTCGATATTTTAAATATATATTGTATTCAAAAAAATACTTAAAATGCACACATTTGAAAAAAAGATACTATATTTTATTAATATTTATGTAAAAATATGAATATGCCCTTTTTATTGATTTTTTTCTTCTATATCTGAACACACTATCAAAACTAAAAAAAAAAGTATTTATGTTTCGGAACTGTTACGTTTCATCTGTGGGTCCAATATAGAAAAACATATTTCAATATTCCACACAACCTCATTTTTGTTAATTAAAATTTAGAATTTTTTTTAAATTTGTCTATTGAAAAAATATAAATAATAGTTTAAGAAATAACAATATTACAAACTACTATAATCATATTGAATAGATAACCATTGGGTTGCCTTCTACATCAATCTCACCATAGTTAAGAAATTGTATCACATTAATTCTAATTGCTATTAGTAATTGCTGTTCTTAATAATTTGAAAAAATCTGAAAAATCTTAACGCAACTTATTGTAAGACATAAAAACTTGTTTGAAATTAGCAGAATATCAATTTGTCATCATAGATGATACATTTACCAGTCTTTTCCTATGAAGATAATTTATTATGTTATTTCATATGAATATATGTTTATTTAATACATTTTTTATATAAATTAAATTACGGATATATTCATCAAGAAATTATACTAATTAAGGTTTCAAATAATTCGGTATCCTAGAGACTAAAAAATGCGATTCAGGTATATAATTTTTAATATCAAAATCTTATATTTTCCCACGTTTTCAAAGAAACCTTTGTGAATTCTATCAGTAGAATGTCGCATTTATATTTCTATTAATTAATTTTAACTTGTATCAATGTTATAGAAAGTAACATTAGTCTTCAGCTTATAGATTGCGGATGCAATAAGCATTTTATTATCATAGCCTGAATCATTTTATGCATGTACGTCATTAGTGATTTATTGGCCTGAGAATTTGATATAAAATTATTATGAATTTTTTAAGAAATGGCGAAAACTGCAACAAATACTATAAAAAATCAATTTACTAAACTAAAAGTTAATAATTTGATAATTTCATTTTTGATGTATTAAACATGCTTAAAAAATAAATAGAAAATCAATTTGAAATTGAGGATAAATATGTTAAATAATGTTCTTGCTTCCGCTTTTGTGTTCCCACAGAACACAAAATAAGAATTTGTGATATTTTTGAATGCATCTTAATAGAAAAATAATTAATAATTGCTTTTCTTACAATTTTTGGGAAAGTAAAATCTATGAGAGACTAGGATGAAATTGCATTAATTCTCTGGAGATAGGAATTAAAGTAGCAGTTTGGTGAAGGATCAGAAACAATGGACCATATTTTTTGGCAATGTATTCTATGAGAGACAGAAATTAGATGCATTGAACTAAAACCCTATCTATGGGGGGGGATGTATTCTAAGAGCCAGTGTGGTATAGAATCAGAAACAGTGAACATTATTTTTTGTGAATATAAAATTTGAGACAAAAATAATATACGTTGAGCAAAATAATACAAAAGCCTACGTAGCAGTATAGTAAAGGATCAGAAACAATCGACCATATTATAAAAATACCTGGAGTAGTGTAGAAAAGGATCAGAAACAATGGACCATTTTGGTTGGTATTGTTAAATCTATCAGAGATAAAAATGAGACACATGGAGCAAAACCTATCTTTGGCAAATAGTAATGATACAATATACTACGAAGAGGTTTTGGTAAAGAATCGGAAACCATAGTCCATACTTTTTGGTAGTGTGAAATTCATGAAAAGCAAGAAGGAGATTCATTGAGCTAAAACTAATCGCTGGAAAATAGGAATGATGCAAAAACCTACGTGCCAGTGTCCAAAAGGATCATAAATAATGCACCATATTGTTTGGGAATGCAAAATTTATGAGAGACAAAAATGTGATGCATTGAGCTAAAAACTATTTTTGGAGATTAGAAATAATGCAAAATCCTAAGTACCAGTGTGTCGAAAAATCAGAAATGATAGACCATATTTACATTGAACAAAACCCTTTTCTGGACAATAGTAATAAATACAATTTGATAGGTAGCGGTATGAAAAGGATCAGAAACAATGATTCATATTTTTTGGGAATGTAAAATCTATGAGAGGTAAAAATCAGATACGTTGAGCTAAAATCCATCTCTGGAGAATAGAAATAACATAAAATCCTACGTGCCAGTATAGCAACGGATCAGAAACAATAAACCATATTTTTGGGATTGTTAAATTTATTAGAGACTAGAATAAGATTCATTCAGCTAAATCTCATCTCTTGAGAACAGGAATAATACATAAGCCTAAGCAGTAGTGTGGTAAAGGATTAAAAACAATGGATCTTTTTTTGGGAATGTAAAATCTATTAGAGTCAAAAATGAGATGTGTTGAGCTAAAACTCATCTCTAGGGAATAGCAATAATACAATATACTACGTAGCAGAATGGTAAAGAATCAGAAACAATGGACCATATTTTTTGAGAATGTAAAATTCATGAGAGGAAAGGGTGCCAAGACCATCGAACCAGTGTATTAAAGGATCAGAAACAAGGGACACCTTTTTAGGGAATGTCAAATCTGAAAGGCAAAATGAGGTACATTAAGCTAGAACCCATTTCTGGAGAATTTGTATACAATAGACTGAGTAGCAGTGTAGCAAAGGATCAGAAACAATGAACTATATTAGTTGCGGATATAAAATCTATGAGCAATCAAAATGAGACACATTGGGCCAAACCCCATCTCATGAGAATAGGAATAATACAAAAGTACTAGTGTGGTGAAGGATCAGAAACAATGGACTACATTTTT